CACTTCTGATAGGCTTGAGAATAGTACCACTGTAGCTAACGAGAAGAAGCAGATGGTCATAGGGGTAAAACTGAAGTCCACTTAGAGGGATGTGAAGTCGTCATCCTTGATCAGGTGGACGGCGGCTCTTCCCAGCCTCTAGTCGTTAAAGGTGGAGAACTCAATGAAAAGTGCTTTGGTAAGTTCGTGGTCGTATTCTTGAGCCACTCGAGTTGGGGTGATAGTGTTGGTCGTATTATTTGATCTCCTTAGTTGTCGAGAGGAAGAGCGTCCTCATTGGCGACGGAAGGCATGACTATTATCACACCGCTCGAGGGAACAAGTACAGGTGGCAAGGTAATGGGAATCGGTTATGTTTGATGTTTAGAGAAGCTGCTTAGGTTGCTGGTGAAGGCTGCATTGGGCCAGGCTCACAGGAGACTGGTTCTGGTCAGTCGCAGAGCCTCACGTCCTCGTCTCAGCTGCACATCAGTCTTCGGAGCATCCCTTTGTCACCTGGAACGACTAGTCTAGCGGTTAGTGATTATCCGTTTTAACCCTTTTGAGTGCGAGACTCGCACTGCGAGTCGGGTTTTACTCAGGTGTCTTCGGAAGATAAATCGGTGGAGCTTGACCGAGCGCGTATTTGGAAGATTCTGGACGACGCATCACAGACTGTGACGTTCTATCTCGGAGGGCTGCATGATACGGGCTTCGCTGTAGAAGGTCTTCATGCTCTCAATCGCATGAAAGACCGCGCGTTGGCTGATGGGAGGGATGAGCAGGACCGGCTGGAGTTCTGGAACGACTACAAAATCGTCTATGAAAGGCTGTCGGCTCTACCAGATAAAGAGAGAACCTGGCAAGGGGTGTTGCAGTTGAACCGCATACATGAAGTATTCTCATGTGGCATCAATGCTACTGATGGAGGAATCATAGGTGTGCTTCGCTCTGCTGTCCTCCATACTTTTATATAACGGGTTCATCGTGCATGCATTCAGGGAAGCGGCAAATGGAGGAGCTCATGGCCACAGCGCTGCAGCAACAAGAGATGAGATTTTATGACCAGCAACAGAGCTTAGTTGCAACTCAGCGGCAACTCATTGTTGGGGATATTGTGGAGGAGATGAGGAAAATGCGCCGAGTGAGTGCATCTCTCCGTGTCCTCTTTGACCCGCTTGCTTCCCAATAATTTACTGCTGTTCTCAGGATGATCGAGCCAAGCTTGCTCACCACATAGATATGCGTGTTGATGACCTTGAGAGACGTCTGGTGTCGAAG